GCTATCAATGGTAGTGAGCACTGCTTTGGATAGCAGTGTTTGCAGATGGATCCATAAATTGCCCTCTGTGGAATAAAAATGAGAACAAGGATTTTGAGGGAGGTTGAAAAAACTGCTAAACCAATTACTAACAGTTGATTGAAAATTTTGTAACATATCCAAAAAAGTGTGCAATTATGTAGAAGAACATGCAAAATCAAGGCCAAGACCATATTTCTAAGGAATTTCCATAATTTCTACATTTTTATGTAGGAAATATCTCTTAAATATTGGATACATAAGAGATAAAAATAGCTTTCAGTTTGGTTTGCATGAAATGGTGACAAAATCCTAAGAGCAACGCTGCAGCTATCTGTTGTAATAGGCACATTCATGAAGAGAATAATAAATTCTGAAGGGTGAATCACACTTTCTTCATACTGAATATGTTATTTAGACAATATAGGGTTCCATACAGAATATATTTCTGTGTCCCTTCATTACCAGAAAAATAAAGACACACCAAAAAAATACAAAATTTGTCAGTTTCTTTCCTCAACAGCCACAGAATTAAATTAACCTGCATTCTAATTCTATTGGCATTCATGAAACTACTTCAGGAATTCATACCCTGCAATTCACTTTTTTTTTTTTTCCTTTTGATTTTACTTTATGTGGAAAATAAAAGAAAGGTATGATGCTGTTTAAGTTTTCTGGAGGATGAGCACTTTGCAGGAAAAGAGATTTTCCAGAATTACGTCAAATAACACCCACAGTGTACCTCATATAGAGAAAGCATTTCAAAGATACAGAATGGAATAATGAATTGTTGTAGTGGAAAGGTCCCAATTTCAATAAATCCATTGAAAAAATGATACTGACGTTAGTGGGTCAAGGATTGGCATGGTTTAGGATTTCCTTGGAAGTCCACGAACATTTTACATCCGGTGCTAAGTGGTAGAAAAGCATTTCCCTTGTGTGTGGAGGGGCTCTGATCCCTTGAATAATTGCTGTTGGTCCCATCTGACCTAGGTGTGATGTCCCATGGCTGGGAGGAGGCAAACACATGCTCCCCAAGTTGTTCCTTGTAGAGCCTGAACATCACCTGCCTCTAGGGAAAATATAAGCGACATCTATGGACAGCACAGATGTTGTGTGCTGTGGTCTCACAAGGAACTGCAATGTCTCCTTTCTTATGCCAATTAATGTGTTATTTAAGGTCACTTGCTGGAGCAAGGGTGTGTTATCTCCTGTGTTGTTCGTCTATAGGATTATTACAAAGCCTGTGCATTTGTTGCATCTGTTGTGTGTATTTTCTACAGCAGCTTGATTGACCTTACATGCTTTCACTTCCTGCCAGTCACAGTCTGGCTAACAAGGAAGGCAGGAAGCAGCCAGAAAATGAGCAGGCTTGAGATCTCTGAAACTGTGGGGAGAAGAGTCAGAATTTGGAGGAGAGTGAGGATGGATGAAAAACAGATGTTTTACAGAGGAGTGGTGTCAACAGGGTGAAGCAATAGCAGATTTCAGGCAGAAAGAGTTATCATTGTTAAAAGTGTGAGTTTGATGCTAAGCTATTAATACCGATAATGTATAGTGTGAATTTGTATAGTGCAATCTTCTGTTCTGAGAAAAAGTATCAATCCTAAAGTGGCTGCAAACAATGTCATCTTATGCAAGGAAGGTAGGAAAAAAGCTTTTTACATACAAATTAAATTACTTGGCTTGAAAAAACTTGTTTTATAACGTTCTGCAGCATTATTATTTCTTCCTGATGTTTTCTGTCTGATTTTATGTGGTTGCACTGGAATTATCCATGGTCATCCTTCTGCTGTATTCTTGGCATTTATAGACTACAGCAGCAGAACAGGGTTGAGGTGTGGATTTGAGAGATAGGGTGCTGGAAGAAAAAAAAAATCTAATGGAAACACCTGAAGTCTCTACATTTCCCAAGAGTCAGCTCTATAAAGGTTATTAATTGGGAAGAAAGGCATGGTTTTGGACTAGTCTTAAAATTTTTCAGAGTGCAACCCAGCATTCTTCTGAGTGCAGAATGTCAGACAGGGTAAAATCAACACATTGGAGGTAACTGAAGTTGTCTTTTCCAGCAGCTGTTTTTTCTGAACAGCACACATAATGGTTTAGTGTTACAGAATCACAGAGTAATTCAGCTTGGAGGGGACCTCAGGCAGTTATCCTGTCTGACTTGATGCTTAGAGTAGGATTGGCTCTAAGAAGAGAGCAGGTGGCTTGGGACTTTAGCCAGTTTGGTCTTTAAAACCTCCAATGACAGAGATGACAGTCTTCCTAGGTAACATGTTTCACTCCCTGATTATCCTAATAGAGGGAAAGGGTTTTCTTACATCTTGTAAAAGCCTGCTTTTTATCTTTTAACTGTTTTTAACTTCTATCCTACACCACAGTGTGAAGAGCCTGTTTCTATCTTCTCAACAGCCTCTTAACAGGTATTGGCAGTCTTCTATTAGGTCCAAATTCTTCTCTCCTCCAGGCTAAACCACCTGTGGTCCCTCAGCCTTTTCCCACAGGACAAGCACTCCATCTCTCTCTAACCATTTCAGTGGCTTTCCACTGAGCTTACTCCAATTTATCTTGTACCGGGGATCAAAAACTTTATGCAGTACCCCAGATCTGGTGTAAAAAGTGCTGAGCAGAGTCAGACAATAACTTCTCTGAAATTACTGGATGTGTTCCTGTTAATATAGCCCGTGATGCAGTTGGCCTTCTTTGTTGCTGGCTGGTGCTTTGCCTTGCTGACCCCCAGGACAAGAGAGCTGTGACCCATATGAGGGGATGCTACTTTGTTCTGTCTTTACCTCTTCCACCTACCTCTTTTGTTGGCATGGTCCTGGAGCCTGAAGGTTCCAGCTGTCCTGCAGATGGATGCATCAAAAGGTGTTTCTTTCAGAAAAGGCAAGGATAGTCTAGGGCTGCAACTGCAGATATTGCCAGATGAGCTGCAGCCTTTGTGTAGTGGATGCCATAGAAGTGTTGCATGTACTGGTTCTACAAATGTGGTATCTGTGTTCCCTTTGTAATGAATGGAGACAGATTCCTTGTTCAGTGAGGCAGGAGTGAAGCACTGACTGTCTAAATTTTTCTTAGCAACCCCTTTGCTCCCACCATTTGATTTTCCTCAGCTGATCAAAAATATGAGAATCTTAATTTTATACCTTGCTGCAAATTGTTTTTATCCTTGTTGCAAATCTGAGATCACTAACAAGCAAATATCAGTTCCAGTTACCTTACCAATTTTTTAATTTTGTAGACATATTTGTTTTTCTTCGCTTGTCTTTTTACCCTTTCCAGATGAAAAAGACTCTTGGCTGCAAGAATGGCCAAGCAACAGAAATGAATTAGGAAATGATACTGAGAAACAAGGCATTTGCGTGAGCATATTTGTAGAGAATCAGGCTTTGGGTGGATGGAATGTGCCTATTGCAAAGGTTCTGTGGTAAAATTTACTGGAGCATAACATGGAGGATTTGAACAACAGGGGTAAGCCAAAACAACATATGTGTTTGCGCTGTTTAGAGCACCAGTTACAACACAGGATGGTAAACCAACCTCATTTCAAAACAAACCAACTCTCCTGGCACCATGTAGATCAGTGGGAAGTAAAGCCTGTGCTCAGAAAAAGGACAGAAGAGAAACTAGTACAGTTTGATGGACTACCCAGCACTGACTGGGGTCATGGCAGGAGTAATGAAGGAAAAGCTGGAAGTCAATGTACTTAAAGATCAGAGAAAGAAGAGCAGTACAATTGCCTCTAGATCCCATGGCAAAATTTTTCACCTACCAAAAATGTACTTCTCAGTAATATTACATTGAAAACAATAAGGTATTGTGGTGACAATATCCTTTATTAAAGTTATTTCCTATCAAAACCAAGGTGTTTTCTGAAAATTTTATAGTAACCAAAGAATAAGTCAGCTCTTGTGTAGCACTTAGCCTAGTCAGATACCAGAATGTATTATACTCCAGTTCACACCAGGTGTGGTCACAGGTAGATGTAGCTGTAATATATTTTCATTGAATTTCACCAATTTAGGCACACATGACTTGGCATTCACAGTAGCTGTTTAATTAAAATTTTGCTAAAACAACTGTCATTCAGTATGGCACAACTTTATACCATGCATGCATATTCTCAGAGATGCTATTAAATTTAACAGTTGTTTTTTTTCCCTGTAGTAATACAGTCAGTTCAAACATCTGCTACAAATTATACATCGAATTACCTAAACTTGTCATTCTAATAACTCTTTCAGCTTATACAAACCAAACTGTTGTATCCAGTCTGCGTCCAGCTTGGGAGCAGGTGTACTTGCCCATAAGATTGCATGTACAACAGCTGTGCATGGACATATAGGCTGAAAGTTTTAAAACAGGAAAAATTACAAAGGAAGACACTGAGACCTCTGAAGTTTGGAAATCAGGCTGGTAGTAGGTAACTGAGTAAGTGCTGACTTATGAGTCAACCTTCTGACTCCTCCTGCTTATTGTTTGAAAATGGCTTGTTGCTGGTGTTTCCATAGACATGATTTGTACTCAGTTCCAAAGTGCAACAGAACTTACATGCACACAAAGAGAGTTTATTAAACTGAATAAACAAAGTGAACAGCTGCTTCAGACTGGTGATTATGTTGCATTGCAAGCCTAGGAAGATAAAATGTTGACTTCCTAGCACCACTGTTTTCTCTCAGAGCCACAAATTTCTTTCTCGCTTTCACGCTTTCTAATCTCCCAAATTGTTTTTTTAAATGACACAGCTTTCATGCATGTAATGCTTTTCACCCAGAACAATGTCAAAGTGCCATACAGACCCGGGATTGTATTAGGGAAGCTTCACAACAAATACATGTTTCTGTATTAGCACTTTCTAGAAAAAAGATCTTGTGTACATGACAGAAAGTATATCAAGAAGAGGACAGCATGTATATTCACACATGATATAAATTGTTAAATCAAGAGTAAAGATTAATGTACAACCTCCAATGCTGTCTGCATTCACTTTCCTTTTAATAGTTCAAGCATGTTAAAGGCATGTTAGTTAATGTTTCATGATTCGTAGGATAATCAGTAGATATTCCTGGCTTCTGTAAGTTAAGGGAGAACATGAAGTTAAAACCATACAATGTACTATTAAAAAAAAAAAAAAAAAAGAAACAATTGTCATTCTGAATTTAATCTCACCATATAAATCGAGTTCTCATTTACATTTCACATCTTTTGGTTTTTTGACAATAGATATCCACACTCTCCTTTTCCTGTAAAGGGCAAGAAAGCACTGGTTTATCGATGATTGTTTTATAAGTGAAATCAGTACTGAATATTTGTTTTGCTTTTAGTATCCAAAACGTTGTAAAGTGTACAAGAATTTTAAAAGCATATGATGCTACAAAACATATGATACTACATATAGCTAAGGCTTGCATTTTTCAAGTGTTACCTATATTTTCCCATAATTAGTTATAAACCTTGCCCTTGATGAGTCCTCTGGCACATGAACCAGCTGAACTTTTCAGCTATTTGTTGTCTCTACAGGGAGTTTAATAAAAATCCTGTGTAAAAGCCACTCAATTTCAGTTCAAATTCAGTTCAAATTCAGGGAATTTCAGTTTTACCTTTGACCCTAGCATTCCAGCAACGTCTCAACCATGTAGCACCTCTGCAACTTCTATTTCACCACACAACAAGAAATGGCACACACTGTATCTTGATATACTCTCTGAAAGTATTTCTGATTTCTGGGGCTGTTTTTACATTCCATCTAATAGTTCTTGCACCCCTCTTGTGTCTCCCCCATACCATTGTGTGCCCATGAGTGCATGAATAACACTTTTCCACATGCTCTCTTAGTGAGACACATCAAAAATTTAAAACAGGATCTTAGGAACAGCCCTATCATGTTGGAATGAATTTTCCCAGCAATGCCCATTGCTAGGCAAAACTCTGAACTCCTTATCAATAGAGATATTGACAAAAATACAAGGCCAGGGTTCACCATTGTCTCCTCATCCTCTTAAGCAGAAATGCTTAGTGGTATAAAATTAAATTCCCTGTCACAAGTGTGACAAAACTGAACCTACTGTACCATTCTCTGCCTTGTGGTTTTGATTATTTGCTCAAAACTCTGGTGCCTTTTGCAAGGTTAAGAAGGTGCTGTGCCATGATACAATGGCAGCAATCACCATCATCCTGCTTAGTGGTTTGCCTGGAAATTGCTTGCAGTTTAAAAAAGCTTTCCTTTTAATTTAGTACATATGTGAAATAAATTATACTATGGACTGGTGCTGTCAAATATTTATTTAGTATCTCAGTACTTTAACTCACTTGCCAATCAGATAAAATTAGTTTTGAATACTTTTGTACTGACATCATTTTCCTAACTTATAAATTCCCTCTCAGACAGAGAAGTAACAAATGTTTGCATTGGCCTGTTGTGAATAGCAGCGATGTTTAGGAATTTTAATGTACAGTTCAGTGTTTTCATAATGTCACTGTGAATCAGTGCTTAATTTTAGCTGGAGACAACTTTGTCCTTAAACAACTTTCTTCGTGTATTTTTCTATTTTCTAATTCAGCTTGAGTGTTAATGTTGGCTCCTTTCAGATAATTTGCATGGAGTTTCAAAGGCATAGGATTTCCCAAGACATTACTAAGCAGCAGCAGCGGCTGTAAAGCCAAGTGTATATTGCTGGATCAACAAGATTGGCTTCTAACAATCAAATTGAAAACACAATTGAAAATAATGACTAGTATTTTGAGAATAGTTTTAGTATGTGTGTTACAGTGCCAACATCTTTCTGCATAATCCTGCTGATTATCTCTCATATAAATTGCATATTAACTTGTGAACTTTATGAAAATAAGGTCTGCTCGATAATGTGTTGAAGTCAATGCAACTAGTTTTAAAACAGCTTTTCTTCTCTGATATTTTCTTCATACAGAATGTAAGTTTTTGTCCTATGTTTTAAACCTTTATTTGAAAAATTTGTACAGAATTAAGTTAACGACATACTATACAGAAGTAGCATCTTATTTGGATTAATTTTGTATTGCTAAAGGTTGTTCAAAATCCAAAAACTAAACACAGACAAAAAAAATTAATCTAGTTGGTTTTGCTGAATTTGCTTGCTAAAATCTAGTAAATATTGAACACATAAGTACTCTGATAACACTGCATTCCTAGTGTGTATTTACCTTTTTTCTTTGTGTTTTGCATGACTGAGAATTTTATCACTGTCAGCTTTCAGTCAGAGGATAGAACATATTTGAATAAGCTTTGCATGGCCTACATTTAAAAAAAAAAAAAAAAAAAGGAAATCGTGCATGACATCATTGAGAACAATTCATTATGAAACTCCAGCTTTTCAAGTTTCTGGTTAGATTTTGTACCCCAGAGTTTTGCCTCTGTTGTTGCCTTACTTATGTCTACATCACTAGTGGGGGATCACCAGAGCAAATGGGTTCTTGGGACCGCTGGTGGGAAGTTTCTGAAGTCACCAGCGGTGAACAGTAGAAACACAGGGTGGTGAAAACATCTCTATCCCTTGTCTGCTTGGAGAGAAAGTCAATCTCTCAGTATGTATGCTGACTGACAAAGGTAAAACTTGAAAGATTAGGTTAATTGGGAGCTAGTAAAAAAGTTACTTTCTTAAGTGTGTAATTTTTTAGAAAGTGGTATCACGTCAAGTCTGTAATTCTAGTAGTTATTTTACTTTTTATTGATCAAAAGTCCTAACTGTGATTTTATAAGGACTGCTTCTGTTTAACTGAGCCATATCAGCTGTGTACTAGCAGTTACAGTGGAAGCAGAAATTAGATATAACTTGGCTATGCACCCTAACCTGGTAATACAGTCCAGCTTCTGTGGGGCATTTACATCCACAGTCATATGTAACAGTCTGCTACAGGATTATCCAAGAACAGAGTGAGCTCAGGCTGAAGAAACCCCAAATAGTACTTTTGTACTCAGAATTTCTCAGTAATAACCCAGCATGTAGCTTTTATTTTATTCACAATGTGTTCTGCACAACCATACCATAGAAAATATTGCTTCTACCATTTACAGTGAAGAAGGCCAAAAACAAAAGGGGCTGAGAAATTGTGGAGCTGAAACTGTGGTGTGTGGATGGACTGCCGAGCTTTTCTCTTTGTGGTTCATTGAAAAAAAACATTGAAGAACTGTAACATTGTAGGTTAAGCTACCAGCACTGTGAGGGAACTGGGTCTGCAAGTAGATATTTTCCTAACAAAGTGGTCTGCTGACTGAAAATCTGGAGAACCATCAGAGTTCAACTAATTGAGCCAGACAACTGTCTTATAAAAACTGGATGTCTGGCTAGATAACTTTTGGCACTTTGAAGAATAGGGAGGCAGATTTATGAACTGGACAAATGAGCGTTTCAGTCAGGAATTTTTCTAATAGCTTGGCTCTCTCTATCAAAGGGAGAGACCCTTTGACTCTCGAAAAGGTGCTGCTTCAAAGGCCACTTTCTGCCAGCTTTTAAAAAGGTGCTGCTTCAAAGGCCACTTTCTGCCAGCTTTTAAATGCACCATTCAGCCTTGGATATTACTGCAGATTTTAAGCACCTTATCTTCCTGTGCAGCTCAGGAAAGAAGTAGGGTAAGTTTAGAGCCTGCTTTATTCCCATTTACTCAGTAACATGAAAACTTAGAAAAGCTTCAGGAAGGAGACAGGTGTGCCTGCACATAGAGAAGGAGCAAGGTGGCATTAACATGCATGAAGAGCCTGGTGCACTTCTAGAAAGGTGAACCTGAATCTGTGATCTCCTAGCACTGCTGAGGCTTTAGAGGCATTTGCCTTCCTCATGCCATGCATGCAGTCAGGGCAGGCACACACCTCTGCAGTGCACCCGTAAAAGCCTCGTGCTCGGTTCTGCTTGGACAGGAATTGCTGATCTCCTTCCATGGCTCGCTGTCAGCAATCGAGCCCCAGCTCGCCGTGTCCTGAGCTACACCGCCGATTAGCCTCCATATGCTCAACCCCAGCAGGCAGCCAGCAGCAGAGCTGCCAAGGTTTCTGCATTTGTTTCTGCCCTGACGGTGTCGCACGTCATTCCAATTCAGATCCATCAAACAATCCACCACAGAAACTGAAACACCGTGGGCAGAGGGATACACAAAATAAGAATTTCTTGGAAAAACCCCAGTCGCTATAATTGTAAATAGCTGTTTTTCTTCTTTGCATGCTATTTCCCTTATGGATTCCACAATTTCTGATTTCTGAGCTTTAGATCAGCTCAGAGTGGAAGAGGTAAATTCATGCCTGGAAGTGATTGAAAAATAAGATAGCAGCTGCACAGGGAGACACATGTCGTGGGGTATTTCCAGTATGACCAGGGTGCCAGACTCTTTTCTACACAAACAGAAGGAAACAACTGAGAACTGGGAACTTCACCACAGGTTTGTAATTTTTCTGCTCCCTCACATAACAAAACAAAACAGAAAATACAAAGGTTCATGAGAGTTAAACACCTATCACTGGTCTGATATGGTCATGTTTGGAGAAGTTTTTTACATAAGCTAAGCTTACATAAACTGAGACTAAACTTACATTACTGAGACATCACTGAGGCTGTTAAAAGCAAAGTGAGCAACACCCCTCACACCCAAGGAGAAGATAGATGACGCTGTGGCTTAGCATGTTCCCTTTATTGTTCCTGGGAACCTGCATGCAAATAATGCTGACCACCTGCCAGTGTTGTCATGTTGCCACTTTTTTTCACCATTATTTGGTCTTTGTGATCACAAGAGAACAGGTGGCCTGGGGAACCAGCCACAGAAATGAGGCAGAGGAGTACATTGTTTTCAGAGCCCATCCACACTTGGGAATTGAGAAAGGAGGAAGCACATTAGTCACAAAATTCCTCTATTCCTTATTTCAATCACCACTTCTTCTTTTCACTGATTTTCAGGGTACACTGCTGTTTTGAAGTCCTGCACTTAGATGTAAGGTAAGAATAGAAGAGGAAGCAAATATATGGGGAAAGCTGCGATTGATTTTTGGCAAATCCTCTGCTTGATCTGTGCTGCACTGTTGCCAGCTCTAAGTGTTCCAAAATCATACGTGATGAGGGTGGCTTAAAAATAATCAATTTGGAGTTTCTTTTTATTTGCCTTCTGGCTTAAAAATAATCAATTTGAGGTTCCTTTTATTTGCCTTTGGTTTCTTAGCCTTCAGGGTAAGCTCAGATAATGTTTTCTCAGAAACCATGTGTGCTAGAAAGCTGCTTTCTTTTTTTC